AAAGATCTAATTTTACATAACAAATTTCATACAGAAGAAATATCTCATCTTTCATATTGTTGTTATTGTAGGTAGATGTTGAAGATTTTGCAATTTTCGAAAATTTAGAGAATTCAACGAAAATCGGATCTGCGCAATTTTTATTATCTTATTTTGCTTTATCCGTTAAAAAGAATTAAATCAAAGTGTTGTCATTGAGGCTTGATGTAAAGTATCTTTACAAGTGAACATTTCTAATTCAAGGGGCGGCGATAATAGTCTAATTATTTGAGAAATATCAATTTTAGTGAAAATGCTGATAAATTCAACAGAACTCCATATACATAGAAGAGACAGAGGTAGGAATGGGCAGAGAAGGCAATATGACGTTACAGTAATCGAGCGAATTAAAGAGTTAATTTTACTTACATAGCGAGTTTTCACAGAAAGAACTAAGGAGGCGTATATGCAAGTAACATTTGACGAGCACATGATCAAATTGACATTTCCAGCAGCCAAGAAAAGGTTTTTGGTTAAGAGACACAGGCTCAACATTTCAAAGCACCACACGGGTTTGAAGAGAAGTATAAGAGCCGTGCAAACGATCAGTAGGATTAACTATCACATACGCCGGCTGCACAGGATTCAAAATCAGACTATTTTCTGACGATCATGCAAGTTTTCCCTGTAAATTATTAACTGATAAGACAAAAGAGAAATATTTATGTTGATGAAACGATTGGAGATAGAACAGCAGAACCTCACAAATCCGAAATTTCGGATAATCCATACAAAGTTCGGGATGCAGGAAAAATAAAAATGCTTATTTTTAATGTAAAGAAATAATTTCACAATTACTGTAGAACATCTAATAATTGAAACACAATTGGTCGTGAAATTTTCATTTCACTGATACACGGTGTCATGTTAATGTAACAGTAATTTTCACTTAGAGCAACTTGCAACATTGGTAATCTATTGCCGTAAGGAACTGAATCTGCTTCATGATGCATTCGCTACGCTAGGTTGCCATTTTTTCACATCGCGCGCTACATTGTCCGTTACTTCTACAGATGTATTAGTACATGTACGGTAAATTTGTTCGGATAATCCGCGCATTTCCGAACCCAAAGAGATCACACCCCCAATCAGTTCGGATTACCGGGGTTCTACTGTATATGCCTTCTTTCAATAACGTACTTTCCTTCGCAAGCACAGCGACTGGCTTGACTGCGGGATATGCAACACGCGCGACGCGCTGCTCCGAAATATCGGGTAAGCATTAGCTTCTGCCTGCCTGTCTGCCCTTGGCGCGACAGCCCGCGAAAGGGCCACGGCCTACCTGCAACGCCCCGGCCTCGCGGGTTAAAGGGGTACGTGAGGTTAACACGAAGACATCCCCATGCCGTATTCTGGTCTTCTCAGCCTGAGAAGTGAGTTTTCACATCTTCATACAGCAACATATACTGGGACTTTGCGAGGAAAACCCACACTATAATCTTGCCCGACCTAGAATCGAACCCGAGTCGTGACATGGAAAAACGACTTATGCGAGCACACTGACATATGACCTAAATAGCGAGGGGTTTAGCATGCATATGTATATACGGAGTAATAAACGCAGTATTAAGTTATGTAATGCTGCAGAGTCGATTTCGAGATTTCAACGCAAACACGGGCGATATCACAATAGTTCGCAGGTTCCTCTCACTGGGAACTTGATATCGCGTCCGTGACGCACGAGGCGTCCGCCAAACCGTTCCGACTGCGCTCTTTCTCCCCTGCCATCACAAGGGTCCTCTTCCCCCCTAAAACTCCCAACCCAACTGGAAGCCCAATCACGAGGCACAGTGGGCGCTCGTGCTCTCCTGAGGCCACTTGGCAGGTCCGGTCTAAACGCAGCCAGCATTTTCATCAAAATTTATGTTCTCCCATCGATCTGGTTCATGTCACGGACAATCATAGGCTTCCGCGGCCAGTCATAAGAAGACTCGCGTGTAAGCGTCCATTAATGCCGACGTTTCGACCATCCATTCCTGGTCTTCTTCAGTACTGGAGTACGGTTGATGTCACGGCCCCTTGAATTTGAAATGGATTTTTTTGGGGGGGAGGGGGTACTTTACATGAAGTCTGTTTAAATGTTTTTTCGGTTATGATAAAATACGCTGATAAAAATGCTACAGATCTCATTTTCGTTTAACTCTGAAATTAGCAGATTATAAAATTTTCGGCGATTTCCTAGAACTGCAATATCAAAATAGAAAGAAAATGTATATCAAAATAGAAAGAAAAATAGTAAGAAAAAAAATTGAAACCGTTTCAGAGTAGTGGATACGTTCATTTAGTAAAATGACAGCAGGCCGGCCTGATCCCCAGATAGGATAGATAACTTTGCGACTGTATTCGACAAGGATTATGAAAAGTAAAATGATTCGACAAAATGATGAAATTTGAAATTGAGTGTACGTTTTTTCGAAGAGGGGTGGGGGCTGGGGGCAAATGGTTGACTTGCAACAAAGAAAAAACCTGGATGATCTCGGATCGCTCAATCCTCTCCCCCTTCCGCGGTTGTCTCCGCAGGCCAGTTTCCTTCACTCCATGATGTTCAAGGACCAAATTCTCAGTTGGTGCGCACAGAACTTCATTGCGGCGATGAATTAAAAGCGGGCCCAGACGAATCCCTGCAGCGCAGAACGTATAATTGGAAATGAAGCCAGTGAGCTGAAGGCAGAAGTAGGTGGCAGTGGTGATACAAAAAGCCACAAACAAGTTTAAGGCAATGTATCCGTAAACGTCTCTAAAGGGTTTGACCTTAAACTTTATCATTAAATGTCCGAAAATAAAAAAATAAAAAATAGGCATTTCACGTGTCACCATACTTTCGGTGTATCGTAGTATCGTAAATTTCCACACGATGTGCTTCAATTTTCCAATATGACATCGTATCTGTCGACCACTGTGGGCATCCACATATGAAAAGTTCCATACAGACCGTCTCTCGTTGGGCAGTGCCCGCTTCGAACCATTACTCTACTGTAGCAGATAACGCTCCCTGCCTGGTCACGCTGACTTGAAACGAAATCCGCATTTCATTTGGAACGATGTCATAATATAAGTTGGAGGATGTTGAAAAACTCGTTAATTAAGACCGGAAGCATTTTCAAAATGGAAATACTAGCTCTAAAGCACGTGTGCATGCTGGCGTGGGAGGGGGGGAGGAGGAGGAGGATTTATGTGTGTGTAAAAATATTTTTTGCTTTTGCAACTTATTGCACACAAATTATTAAATAATCTCATTTTAAAGAGGACAGATTGAATATGACTTGAGACAGGATTTCCAAGCACTATCAAATAGCTAAACAAGCATGAAGCAGGGTAAAAATTGACAAAACATGCACAATCATATTTTAGTTTAGAATCTTTTTTGTTTTATTAAATTTTCCAACAATGAGCAATTAACAGTTTTTCTAAATTTTCTGCAGTCAAATTCATCCTATCATCAGATGCATTATTTTCTACATCACAAGATATTTTTGGAGCGTTCATCAAAGACGAAATCTTCAATGTACGCTCCAAAACGATAGAATTTCTCCTTACCAGTTACACCCACATCTCTAAACACTAATTTCAAAATCAATTTTAAGATATTCAACAATTTTTAATGACTCTCCTAGAGGTAAACCTGCTGTTTCTAATTTCTGAATTGCCCTTGGCAATTTTGCAAAATTTGATTTAACCTATTTTTTAATTCTTTTCAAAAGTGGACTGAGAATCTACTCTTGATTACTTTTGCCTCCCACTGTCAATTAACAAGTGATATTGAGACATGGTTTCCTGACTTACTTTCTCTATTCTTTGTGCCTCAATTGTCTTAGTACCATTTCTAATCTAACATGTGCACTGTAGGGTTAAAATTGTTATTTTAACAATATGCAAACAACAGCATACAACCCGGATCCAAGAATAATATGCTATTTATACAAAATATGCGTCAATTTTGATATTCTCAAACTATGCAAAAAATAATTCAAGAAAGTACTATTATGCTAAATAGAAATTTAAATATGCATATTAATTGAAAAAATATTGAAACATGTATAGAAAAATGATATATTCCATGGAAAAATACATCATTTACATAGTGTAAAAGCTCTATGTAACTTATATAAAAACACATTTGTATCAGTGTCCAATCATGACACACTGAACAGAAAGCCACCTAATGTTTGATTGCCTCACAATTCCAAGAACAGATCCAAGGGAGTAGGAAGGCAAAGTGCAAAGAGTGTTTTTTCATGGGAGAAATAAATTTTGAAGTGGATAATGATTATGCCAATTCTATTCCAACTATTAATATATATAATCTATTCTTCTATTCGTAGCTATTTCAGTTTTATTATTATAGGTTATTTAACCACTTCATTGTCCAAAAGTTTCTGATAAATTGCACTTCTAATGGTACAGAACATACATTTTGCAAATTTCAAAAATTGTAGTTCAATATAAGTCATTACAATTTTGCATTACACTAATTACAACTTTAAAAGTTGGAGGACTGGAGGACTAAACTCTATCTCACAAGTAAAAAAATTAACTGAAGTACAAGAAAGAAAAATTAATTCAGTTTTGTCATATCTAATCTCATGCAAAATCTACCTTTTAAAACAGCAGGTTCTCTACTGAAATGACCATGTATTAAAATAAAGTGTGTTGTGTATGCCATATCCATTTGTAGGAAAATTTCTTGCTCATTAACATAATATTTATAACTTTAACACATTTATGAATATCTAGTAGTAAGAATATTATCAGTAAAATACAAAACACTTTTGAAGCAGGTATATTATAGTACAAAGGAAAGAAAGTAAATAAACCTTTTAAAGATTTTTCTTGTTTTCATCACAAGAACATCATATATACATCACCGACATGAAATTCACTGCACTTTCAGATACTTTAAACATTATTGTAAAATATAAAACTGTAATGACAAATTCTTTGGGCCAAAACTTCAGACTTACCCTTGATCCTCAAGTATTTCTTCCAGTTCGATGCATTTGACCTCCACTTTTCTCTTGCGTTCATGGTCCAAAATGTCACGATTAGGCTGTCGATTGCTGGCAGAATCAAGCTTCTCTATTTCCTCTTCTGTTTTATAATGAACTTTGTCTTTAGTCTTGCGGACAAAAGCCCAGTTTCTCTGCACATATCCATTGGTACCAGAGCCTCTGGCAGTTGGTAAACCAATTCCGTTGTACATGATGAAGCTCTATTAAACTAAAAAATCTGAAAACAATAAAAAATCTTAAAGTGTTATCAATACTCATTCTTGAAGTAAAACTGAGGATTGTTAGGCTCTCCTCACCAAAACATTTACATTCTACTTGTATTATGACACCTAAGAACACAATTCATTGCATTCATGCTCAGATCACTTTTTGATTGATTATATAATGTAACATACGAGAAAATAATATGCTTCAGAAAAAAACCAATTTATTTAAAATAACAGGCAACGTATAGGCAACGACAAACTTATCGACCGGAATTACAAGACCTTGAACAATTAATAGTTCTCGAAGAATCGACATTAATTCTCACCTCTAATTCAATGTTCACAAAAACACGAAAACTCACGCTCTGTTTCACATATTATTTCTCAATAAGATACTATATCTTATTCAACAACACCACTTGCACAAATACACAAAACAAACCGAAGCGATGCCATCTTGAGATAGCTTGGGGAGTGTTGGGGAGCCAGAGATGGTATTTTACGCTTCCTAGAATCGCCACCGTAGCGCTGATTCCCATGTCTTTACAAATGGCGCACAGGAGGGCGGTCACTCAATGTTCACTGCAGATCGGGGCTACTGTTTAGTGTTTGTTTGTGGGACGTGTTTTTCGGTGCCTGGTGTGTGTTTTGTTTAAAAGGAGATCATTTGATTACAGTCAGAATGGTCGACAGATTATTGTATAATACTGTATTATCCCAGACGTTTTCTCCTTGTGGGAATTTCCTTCTTGCCGGTAACACGTATGGTGATATTGCTGTCTACGAGTAAGTAGATGGAAAATTCGCTTTATTAGATTAACTATTTTGTGTTGAGACAGACTGACAAAGGAATTGTTAAACAGTTGCACTTGATATTTTTCTACCCCCCTTGTGTCACACAGTTTGCAGAAAATTCTTAGTCCTGGAGAAGCATTTACTCCTCCTTTGAGGAAAGCAGAATATCACTTCACAGTGAATAAAGACGTCCAAATATGTAGCATGGTTACAACAGAAAAATTTCTTGTGACTGGAACTGTAGGTGAAATTCAAGGATGGGACTGGAAAACCATTACTTCAAGCAAGAATCCCAAATTATGTTGGAGTATACAAATACCGTCCAGCAAGTATGTTTTCTAATGTATTAGTGTGACATAATAAATATGAAAGAATAATCTGTGTGAACAATGACGTTCATTTAAAAATTTTGGATTTTTAACTAGGGATACACTGGAAAAAACAGATGTAAACAGTATGTTTTATCATGAGCAACAAGATGTATTGTATGCTGGATGTGGTGATAATAAGATATATGTCTTTTCTTTGGATGGTGGACGATTTATAAGAAAATTTGAAGGTCACGAGGATTACATTCATTGCATTAGCCACTGGTAAGTACAAATTTATTTTAATATTGTGCTTTTGTCTTAGTATTATGAAAACAATGGTTGTATTTTTTTAAAACTGTTTTTATGAGTAAAGATGATTAATTATGGTGTATTTCACAGGGGTAACCAGCTGGCATCTGCTAGTGAAGATGGTTCAGTTAAACTCTGGGATTTAAATCACAAGATTTGTTCGCATACCATCCAACCACACATGAATAGCAAAGTTGCCAGACCTGATTATGGGAAATGGGTGGGAGCAGTTGCCCTCAACGATGATTGGATGGTATTAATTTCTTTTCATTTTATCCTTTCCTCATTACAGTTAAAATTGTGATAATGTATTCTCAGAGAGATAGAAGGTAGCTTCTACTTCCTCTCACAAATTCAGTTCTTGTGAACGTTGAAATAAAATGAACTTGGTAGTCAGGTTTTTAAGTTTCTCCTCAATTTAGACAAAGGTTCTAAATTTGCAGAGCTCTAGAGCTGTGTGTGTCTGACCGTACTACCAAGTATTCAACCAAAATATAATATTACTCACGCAAATTTTCTTGAACAATGAATTGGAGAAATGTGGGTAGAGTGGGGCTATTAGTTATGAAATCGGCCACTAGACGTTATGAAGAATCTCTGGAAAATCAGTCATGCCTTTGCAACTTACTCAATGATTTGCGTTCTAACTTTCTGAGGAGTTTGAGTATCTCCTGTGATGGATATTCACTGGCTTCAGTCATTTCATTAGATTTTTGGGAGATAATTATGGAAAGAAGTTCTTGTCATCAACGAAAAAGAGTTTGTATTTCGTGCCAGTGAAGATGTGTTTGGAATGTTGTTATCAGCTCTCGCTGCAGGCTTTTGCCTTCAACTGTTTATTGTGCCACAGAGGGGGGAACAAGGTCATCGTTCAAGAAAAGTTGTGCGATAACCCCCTTCTCTGTGGTCATGAAGTGTTTCTATCATCCATCATTTCCTTCCACACTTCCATGCTTTACATAATTTTGGTGGAATATTCATGAAATACAGAGTTTTTAATGATTACTGGTGTCCTGCTCTCCAATTGTTGTATTTTGTCGTAATAAAAATGATACTACCACAACAGGCTTTAGAAAGAGTTTAGACTTATATACCAAAACAATTATTTGTGTAACACAGACTTTTTTGTTTTACCAGCTTTGTGGAGGCGGACCAAAACTTTCTTTATGGCACCTAAGATCTCTTGATGTCACCACTTCGTTTCCATTGGAAGATACTGGAGTACATATAGCTTTATTTTATGATGATCGTATTATGACAGGTGGATCCTGTCCATATTTCTATCATTTAAGTTACACTGGAGATGTTCTTGCCCAGATTCCATCCTCATCTACTTCAGTTTATTCTGCAGTATATCAAGAATCTCCCTTAAAAGTGAGTATGTCTGCCTTATTTTGTAACATAAATGTTGATGAGTTACTTATTAAAACATTGTATAATATACATGTGTTGCGTGTATGTTTCAGGTATTGTGCATTGCTGGATCTAGTTCTAAAATCGATTTGTGTACAAATTTCAGTTATCGGGATCAAATTCTTTCTTTTGCCCGGGTGTGATATGACTTTTGAAATCATTGTTTTTTATACTGAAATAGAAACCTTATTTCTGTATTGACACAAGTATTGCTATTCAAACACATTTTACTAAATGTGGTGAATCATTTTTTATTATGCTCATAATGTAAATAAATTTTTTATGTTTCAAATGATTTGTTTGTAATTATATTATTTCCTGATTACATTTGAAGGACTAAAATAAAAAAAGAAAAATAAAGACTGATCTAAGCTAGTGTTGTCACTAACCATGAACTTCCTGGATTTCAAAAAACGATTGGACATAGGTGGTAATGATATGACTAATAATACTTGTTTAGAATGTGAAGGTAACTACCTTTACGTTGTTGACAGCCAAGTTTGAAAGTAGAAGTTGAAATTTGGATGGTTTCCAAACATATTGAATTTGCATGGAAAACAATCGGGTTTAGAAACAAAAACTATTAAAATTAAATAAATTAATAAACGAATATTTTTCCTCCAACTTAGTTTGCCAATTTTACTTTTACATTGTATGTATGTAAACATTTAGAGAGTGTGTGTTGTGATATTGAGATTGCAGAAAACTGTTTTATTGCTGCAGAAAGCTGTCTTATATGCAAACGATCAATTTCGATTGCTAAAACAGAAGATGAACTTCAGCTCAATATCTACAAGCTCAGCAAAATAGTTTAGCAGTTTTTGTCCAGTTTCCCTGATACATTGAGCAAATGCTGAGATGGCCCCGCGTTTTGCTTCCTGATGTAAATGTAGCTTCACTATGCGCACATTTTGTTGAACTCTCCTTTTGCTTATAGTGGTAGGAGGAGATGTAAAGGCAAGTTACTATTTTGTTTGCAATGCATAAAATAAAATCTACAGTTCTTTTACTGTTGCAAATAAGTTTTCTAAAACTCAGGAATGTAAATGTATATTTTTTTCAAATGTAGCTAATCTTGCAATTTTTTAAATTCTATTTATCTTTAACTTTTAGTTGTCTTTCAAATATTTAGAGTTAAAATTATGGAAAGAGATTCTGGAACTGAAGAAAACTTGCACAGATTATATTCTCCCCCATTCGTCACATACAGCTTTTACTGTTTTTTGACTAAATAAATCTAAATAGCTAGTTATTATAGCTGTGAAATATTCACATCTAAAATCCAAATTAATGCATTTTGCAAAAAGGAACCAGTGAGATCTAAGAGTGGTAGAAAACCAGGTTGTGAAGCAAGTAAGCAATTTTCATTTTCTAGGAAACTATGTCTCTTACAACTATGACAGACATAGAAAAGAAACTCTTGTCATTCCAGCTAATGTGTAAAACCATAAGAACGCTTGGTAAGAGAACCCGAAAAGAAACACAGTTGATATTCTATAACACAACGGCAATACCAACCCGGCTATATTGTAGCAAAAGCTGGGTTTTGAAACAAAGAGAAATGAGCAGAATACAATCGTCAGAGATGAAGTTTCTGTAAGCAGTATAAGGCACGAAAACTGATCATGGTAGAAAACAAGATATTCAAAATCCTAACTGTCTATGCCATTCTGTAACACCTCTAGTTTTTCAAACATGACTTCTTTTGAATTATTGATTTTTTACCCACTTTCTGAACAGATAATAAAGTTAATATATTTTATGAAGTTAACACAAATGTGAAGATGAAGTTACCATATTTGTTTTTAAAAAAAGCTTTTAATTAATTTTTGTAAAGTCGAAATAAAAGTGTGGGCTCATAATATAAACTTCTTCTCTATAAATAAAACTATAATTAAGATCTTGACAAAAAGAGAAGATTACATTAAAAGAATTTCCTAATGCAGATATTAAAATATGTATCCTACAGTTATGTAAAAACATTTGTGATCATAATAAAAAACATTTTCAATATTTCAACATGATTCACTGAGAAAAATGATTTGTTGAATTAAGAGGACTTATCAAATAACAATGAGGATCGTTACCTTTGTGTTCAACTAATGTAATTAATAACATTCAATAATAATTAATTAAATTATTAACAAATATGAAAACTGTACATATTTGCAGCACACATGGCTTGAAGCATTAATATAAACAAATATATTTTCATGTTTATAATAGTGTCTGAATTTACCCCCCCCCCCCCTCAATAAAAGATCCGAAATCCTGCCTTTGCCAATGAAAGTAAGAATGAGGAGATATTTTATTAGCAGAAAATAATGTTGGAAGATCAAGTTGTATTTTCAAGATAGACACATTTGTAATTATGGAAATTGGCCAAAGCATACAAAGAACGGGGAGAGTTAATTTAAAGAATATGAACACCTTTGTTTATAATTACAATATATTACTTAAAATTGTTTATTACCATGCTATTGTGGCATGGTTAGCTTCTTATATCACCACCATATCATCTATAATCATTCCCAACTCTCATGAATTATCCAATCATCTATCCACTGGAAAACATTACGAAACCACAACCATGATCACCTGTATGGAGAAAAGAATGGTCATAAAGACACAAGCCTCCCTTTGTTGTGAGTTTGAGATTGAAGAGATCATTATTGTCTTATTTCCATACCTACATGACAGATGGACATACAATTAAATAAATAAAATATACTCCAAATTTCAACATTTCTACTTCAAATCGTATTTTTTAATATTTTTAATGGATTTGTAAATGTGAATGGCAATCGTTCAGGATGGTCATTCTTAGAGTGCATTAGTGAATAACATAATTTTCTGATTTCATATTTACTGAATAGAATAAAACATGAAAGTGTGATTTTTTTAAGACATCTAGTTGTGAGTCAGAACATGCAGGAGTATAAAATCAAATCAGATTTCAGAGAAAAGCATTCAGAAAATTAAAGAGCGACTTTATAGAGGAATCAGAAATATTAAGGCATAGCTTCAGGGGCAGCAGTCTGTATTAACCAACTGTGATTCTAAGAGAGAAAAACTTGGAAAAATAAGGATATTAATAATTTTGAATAAAATTGGTTGATGATAAAAAAATATCTAAGTTGTGCAGTCTCATATATTGTTGGTAAGGTATAAGGAAAAATGTGACATTAAAAAGAAATATGTTTGAAGAAATGTGAATGATATAATGAAAAAAATTAACACCTCAGGTTTATGATTGATGTTTCTATTCTATTCGTGAGTAGAAGATATTGTTGCACTCAACAACCGTTGAAGTGTCATCCAACACTTACAATTTAACATTTGTCCAGTGCACAGATTCCTTGAGTGAACTCTAACAAAACAGTTTTCCTTCATGTGTTGAAGTATTCCTGGGTGTGCCATCTTCTTCTTGGTCTGTCTCTGTCCCTTTTGCATTCTGATTTATAGTATAATGTCTTCAGTTGGAGTCTTTATTTCTCCTTTTCAAATGTTTTTTCCATTTCCTGTGATAGTCTCTAATTTCTTGTGTTAAATTCTCCATTTAAATTTTTTTATTATTTTTGTCATTTCAAATTTTGTCACTTTGTGTTCCCATTAAAATTGCTATTTACATGGTTCTGCTTTCCTTTGTGCCCATTAATCCATGTTTCTGCATAATAATTCCGTAGTGATTTTGATGTACTGTTACAAATTCACATAAACATTTTTTTTTTCTTTATTTTTCTTTCTTCAGATCTCCATAGAGTCTTGTTGGTTATTCCATTGTTTCCATTACATTTTTGAATTTTTCTTCAATTTTCTTTTGAGAAATTTAATTTCAGAGATAATTAAAGATGGTAACTGGTAACTTGTTCAATTATTGAATTTTCTACTACTATTTTTGCTCAAAGATGTTAGACCGCTAATGTTTGTCATTTTTAGCTTTTCATTTAAAACGGTGCCTTATTATGATGACAGTTTTATGTGGTGTGACTTCTGAGTCTGTTATTATGGGTTCGTCATCTTCAAACAATATTATAAATAAATACTGGTTACTTATTACATTTATTTCTGTTCAAGTATTCTCTTTCCTTTCCTTAACGTTAGTATTCAGGTTCATGATGATGAGTGAGCATCCATTGTGGAGACCTTCGCTGACTCTTAGCTGTTGTCATTTTAAATTTCTTTTTCATTTTTAGCCATTTTTTTAAAAATAATTTTTAAGTGACTGAATCCTGGCATAAGCCTGTGTTAATTACAACAGGTACAGATCAAGAAACAAAGTTTTGGAGGGGAAATTAAGAATGTTGTGGTTGAAAGTGTTATATTACAGATTTTGTAAAATGTGGTAGGTTACACTCAGCTCGTGCTGCGATACGATTTTATTTGTTTTAATGATTATACAAAAATATTTTTGCTAGAAAGTTTCATGATAAGATAAAACTAATACTTACTGAAAAAATTTAGGAGGGGAGGGAAATATCCCTCATTTCCCTCCCCTTAGATCAGTGCCTGTAATATGAAATGGAAAATGTCGAAAAGGGAATGTGGTTTTGTGGAAGGATATTTTACATAGGTCAAAGACAAGTACAAATAAAAATATAAATACATATGGCTTGTTGTATTCAATCAATTCAATACAAAAAGCATAAAACACATTGCGACTGTTCCTCTTTCTCTGCATTTTTTTTTTTTTTTTGAAATAGGACAAATTAGGAAAAATCAAGTTAACTATTGAAAATTAACAAATATTAATTAATAATGTGGAATTAGTATTTGAAATATGTGTATACAATTTTGTTTATTTAATAAACATTTTTCTGTTCTTTGATAAAGACACTTTACCATTACTTTTGAGCAGTGGCGGCTTAGGCCTGAGATTTTTTGCAAGTTTGAGATTTTTCTCCTTGACGTTATTTTAACGTATTAGTAAACGTTTGAACAGAATCCGTTCAAATTTCAATAATTATACAAATATGGTCCATTGTAAAGCAACAACAAGCGTTTTATGCCTTCCATGATGAGGTGAGTGCCATGGGTTCTGCTAAATTGTGCGGAAGTTCTTCACTTCCTGTGGATCCTCGTCGGCGAATGGGTGTGTTGACGGGCACACCTGGACCAAACGCCCCCATTTTTGTTATCTACCAACTTTTGAAGCTGGTAGCCCCCACTGCTTTTAAGACCTGAAGTTTTTTACATCTTATAATTAATTATTAACGTCTATTTTTAATTGTTGGGAGCACAACTCATGTGCCTTTGAAATGTTTCCTGAGGAACTCAGCCTGTATTATTATTCTTTGGCTGATGTGAATAAAATGACTAAATGATTGGGATTGGATAACCCTTTCATTAATAAATATAAATAAGTGTTATGTCACTAATGAAAAACCTAACAGAGTTTTATCATCTTATATGAAAGTAGAAAGTGCAACATTTATATATTAATGTCAACGCATAAACTATTATGTCAGACAAATAAATAGCCAATTATATTAGTATTGGGAAACCTTAATTGTAATAAATGTGCACGAAAACTCCTGCCGATTTTCTCTAATTTTCGAAGGCAATTTGCTGGCGGTCATTTATCAAATAATGAATAAATGATATTTTTATTCACAAAATTTACATTTTAAGGTAAATGTGTGGAAATGAATGATAACATAACTTATTCTTCGTGGTAGAAAGGTATTTACACACAAGTGACTAAGGCAAGAAGAAAGTCATGAACTGCTTCCTCGAGTCTCACAAAAATCCATGACCTGCAACAACGGAAGGAATAAAACCTTCATTACCATCTCGACTTCGAACCCAAAACCAGTCTTTTAAATGTCCACTTACAAGTGCTACTACATCTCCTTTAGAGACAGAGAGCGTATTTCGACCCTTACTGTTGTAATCTGATCGAATAACCAACAAAGTGTGCCTTGTAGTTCCCTTAGATTTTGCATTAGCTGCGGCTCGCAGATACAGTCTATCAACACTCCTTTCCCCACAAGCAGACACTGCGTCTCTTTCTAGACCGTATCGTCCTCTTCGTGCACTGCTGAACGATCTTGCTCCCCCGCACTCGGATCGTGTTCCATCACGTAATTTTTCATTATCTGTTCTGTTTCCTAGAGGTTGGGGAAAGATATCGGTGTGGGTTTCCCAGCAGGGGGGTGGTTTGGAGTTGGAGTGAGAACGCTGGGGCGGTGGCAAAATACCAAGGGGAAGACATGCTCCATAGTTCACGTAACCTTCTTCGCCATGAGGTGTCTGAACATAGAGCCAAGCTTGGTTCTTGAACACTGCATTTACAACCATACCTAATGGCAATGCTACTTCATCTTGATAACCTCCTGTTCGAGTCTGATACAACACACACGGGGATGCCAAAACAACTGGAATATTGGCTGGCTTCTCAATGGAGGCCTGAAAAATAAAACAAAAAAGCTGTAAGTGTAAGGTCTACATATAATTAATCACGAAAATACATCTTTGCATGATATGAAAATACTATTTCAAAATCTTTTTTTTCATTTGAAAGAAATATTAATTTCATTACTTATAGGATATAATATAACCTAACCTAAAAAAATGATTAAAACATGGATTCTTAAGCTATAATTTGTGAGTTTTGAATTACATTATCAGGAGATTAAATTATTAGTTACGGTGGGACACATTCACATTCCTGCTTGTAAAAATTGCAATTTTATACGTACAGGGCATGATTTATAAAATTTTAGGTCCAGAACGCGCCCCCAAATTAATTATTAATTTAATAGAAATAGTTATATATTTATAATATAATTTAATAATTATTTCCGAGACACGGGAGCGTTCTGTCGGAAATCAAGCCCTGCATATGTATATATCGTATGCTTACAAGGAAAACCCGCTAGGTCCATTTTTAAGTGGAAGTCAATAAACAGATTTTTTGCCCTACAATCTGGGAGATTCCGATTAATTATATCTCTATTCAGTCCTTAAATATAAACCGGAATAAATGTACTAACTCCACAACTGAGAAATTATTGAAACCCTCTAACAACACTAGGCGTGTTGTCTAGGTTATCCGGGGTGAGCCACGTCACTGACATGGCACAGTTTGTCTTTAGGCACCCCAGGTAACCATGCGCACGCAGTTTTTCGATGTGGACTGAGCCCTTGTGCGGTAGAGTCAGTGGCAGAACATTTTTCGGACTTTGTTCAGAACAATACCCTTCTGTCGTCATCGCTTTGAACATCAATTAACACTATTTTTAATTTTGGTGAATCTACTCGCTAGCAAATTTGCGATGTATCTGTAATTCGGTGGTGGAACAAGTTCTCCCGGATTATATTGTAATTTGTTCAAAACGCATACAAGTTTCCCATCCATCAAAAATAATACTTTTACTTTGCAGAGTTTGGGGGACCTAGATTTTCAATGTGTCATTAACAATATCAACGGCATTAATTTTGGTTTAGATAACAGTTTCTGAATACAAATAATGAATCGTGGTTAAAAGACGTACGTGTTGGTAACAATCTCTCGGACTACAAGGTCGTGGTTGACCTCACGCCATGGATGTGTTATTTTCAACTTCTGGGCGTGTGATAGTTAAACTAATGGGACATACGAACCCAAACATTTTTTCAAATTGTTATTACTCCACACACAATGAAGAAAGTGCTTAACATTGTATAAAGATTTAAAATTGAGGAATAAATTGCATTGATAAAGAATCTCTGGCTTGGATGTCCGAGGCAATAAATGGGAACCTTTGTAATTTTAAAATTTTAGAAGGTTTAATGAAAATAGGAACCACACCATATAAATAAATGCAATCTTCAATTGCAGCAAAATATTTAAAAAATGCAGCCATTTTTTACCAATTTTTTAAAATGACACAGAAGCTTCATGTAAAATACCCTCAAAATTAAAATATATCTTAATGAGCATCGGAAAGAAACTTCTCAATCTTTCCCTTGACGTATTTACCAAGTTTGAGATCAAAGTTTTAATCTGATGGAGTTAAGCATGACGCATCCATCCATTCATTCCATTTTTCGTAGTGCATCTCATCTCCGCCTGGACCTTTCTTAACAGTTTTGAACCACATTAATAGGCCCTAATCTCGACGTGTGTGCATATTGTTCAAAGGAACCTTAAACAAGGATTTTACAACCGAAATTTCTCGATAGTATTATTAAAGTGATTCTCTATTTGAGGGCAAGGTTATTGATTTCACGTTTCCTCGTCGTTTGACCGCTTGGACCGCCAGTGACTTTCGGTGCGCACAAGTGAGGACACTGCCGAGTTGATGTACACTACGCCGTCATTTTGCAATCTTAATCACGTGTTGATGGCGCACTGCTCTAAACATCCTCCAATTTGGAATTCATTCGGGCCACTTCGTCGTTAAGCATTGCAATTTTCACAAACCGTGTAAATAGCGATTTTCAGCTTGCAGCCATTAACTTTGGCTGGAAATGTCTTTTTTAGTGGTGAGAATTGCAAGTGCTTGAGAGTGCAAAATATGACAGAATTAGGAAATACAAGAGGTATTTTGATGCAGTGAAAGACGCACAAAACAGGTAATCCTTTTCTTATGCTAAGCCCGCCTCTTTCTCCTTTAACACGTACTTATAGGAAAATTCATATTAGCCGGGTTTAGTCACAGCTTATTTGACATACATCAGTTTATAAAAAAAGTTTGAAATAAACACACTGAATCACATTATTTAAAACTTAAAATTTTTTTTCTTCGTTAACCATAGTTTGTTGAGCGACATTACAAGGACATGGATTTTCCTCATCTTCACGCTACAATGAACATAAGAGAAAATTACTATATTTTTAAAGAACATAAATAATGAGTTATTGACGTTAAATTTATAATAATGTGATTCGGTGTTTTTACACGATTTCAAACGATTTTTATGAACTAGTGTCTGTGAAATAAACTCTGTTTCCAAATTCGTCTAATATGAATGAGCACTAATTCGACAGACAATTTTCTGTTTTCATGTACAAGAAAATTACTTTATGTGAGGAACTCAGACATCAGACAAGAGGGAAAGGACAAGCAGAACAATACGTATTAATGTGTGTGGAACGAATGAAGGGATTTATTGTTTGATTGATTAGTAATTCCGGGTGAATAAACTACCAAGATGATTAGTTTGGTAAAAGTAGTGCCAGTTTTCCTTCGGGAGGGGCGGTGATTTTCCCACGCTAGATGGCAACGTCCTAACGTTGGGTAGAGGTATTATTCCCAACCAGGTATCTGCCAGCAGCGGAACACCGTCCCCTCTTTCGGGACAAGCTCTAAGCTCCAGAACGGTCTTCCGACGTGTGTGCTAGGGTAGTGCATGCTAGTGTAAGTGTGTGTAAGGGACGTGGATAGGACAAGGAAGACGAAGGAAATATCGCGAACTGTCTGTGGCCTGTTTGTTAGGGTACTGTTTCAGCACTTGCCTCGTACAGATCGGAGAAACCACGAAAAACTAATCATCAGAGCAGCTGGCCGCTAGAATTCTTCTTCAGACAGTGACAGAACTCGACCCAACTCTCTGGCTAGTGTCGAAAATCCTGCCACCGCCGGGAGCGTAACCATAGGACCTCCCGATCAGAGGCACTGTATTACATAAGTTAATTCCCTGAACCATTTTTGCCCGTTTAAAGTATGTGAATAAATGGATCTTGTATGGAATGCAAAGCCCCATTAACGCGTCTCATTTCGTACCACGCCACTGTCATCAAGAAGGTTGCGATCGGGATGATGTGCAAGCAACCAGCCGAGAATTACTTCATTTACGATAGATTCGATACTTACGATAGAAAACAAGAAGATAATTCTGATCCTGGTTACTACAAATATATCCATTGTGTTCTCTGATGTAGGTAGAAGGGAATTAAATCAGTTGATGGTGTGCGCCACCTCTGCCGGCAAGTGAAAGAAGAGAAGGCGCGTGCGCGAGCGCGTGCGTACCTTGGTGAGGAAGGCGTCCACGTCCTGGATCTCGTAGCCGAAGCGCGCCGGCTTGCGCGCCTTCTCCGACTTGTGGCGCGGGGTGCGCGCGCGGCGGTGGCGGTGCTTCTCGCGGCCGGCCCGCCCGCCCCCGCCCCCGCCTCCACCCCCGCCCACGCGTCGCCGCCTCCGCCGCCAGCAGCAGCGACGGTCCGACAGCGTGCGGCACCGGGGGCGGCGCTTGAGGCGGGCGGCGGGCGACGACGCGCGCGGCGAGCAGCGGGGCGGGCGGGGGCGACGACGCCGGCGCCGCCGCGCGCCGCCGGGCCGCCGCCGCGCCGCCGCGCGGCCACCACGGTCACCACCGGGGCGGGCGTCGCGGCGCCGCGCCCCCTGCCCGCGCAGCACCCACGTGAGCGACAGCTTGGGGCGGGAGCGCGCGAGCAGCGCGGACGGTCGCTGGCCCATGCCCTCCTCCTCCTCCGGCTCCTCCTCCTCCTCCTCCGGCGGCGTCGTCCTCGGCGGCGTCCTCGTCGTCTTCGTCGTCCTCGTGGGCGCCGGCCCGCTGCTCAGCTCGCCGGCATCGCGCACCGTCGCGGCACGGCCCACCAGGTCGGGCACCGGCAGCGGCAGCGGCGGCTCGCCATCCTGCGCATGCGCACGCCGTTACTCACGCGCTTAGCGGTCGCGCCTTTACATTTACAGCGACAGTGCGCGCGGCGAAAATACGACGGGGCGCGCTTCGTGTGGCGGGCGGGCGCGCCGCGGGCCCGCCGCACTCGTCGGTCGCGTACCTCATCGCAGCCATCACGTGGGAGGGTCCTCCGCCTCGCAGCCCGCCCTTCGCTTATTCCTCGTTTTATACGCGCGGGCTTTTGTGACCACGTTCCGCGTCTACATTCATCGACGGTTGTTTACGTTTGTGGGGGCCGGGATTTGCCACGTGCTGTATCCTTCAAAGTGGTTTTCAGATTGTTCGCTTCATTCGATAATTTAAGTGTTGCGTGGGAGAATTAAACGAAACCTATGGGCTTCTTGCCTGTTCTTTACACACTTTCTTAATATCGCTAAACACTTCGATTTGTTGTGATTAGTTTAAAAGTCGTGATTGATTGATTAGTGAATTCGGGTGCGATAACTGCTGATGTTATTAGTCCCGTAAGTGCAGTGCATGTTATAACAGGGTAGGAGGCGGTGATCTTCCCTACCTGAAAGGCGAGATCCTGCGCCGATCTACACGTCAGCATACGGGGATTCCCCATCCACCTCCCTCCCTCTCAAAGCTTCCGACTGCTTTCCTGACTAGTTGTGTATTGCATGTAAGTGCGCGCGTCTCCTTCTCTCTCTCTCTCTCTCTCTCTCTCTCTCTCTGTGTGTGTGTGTGCGTGTGTGTGTGTGTGAGGAAGGAAACATTGCGCGTGGCCCATGACCCAGTTGATAGGGTACTGCTCGGGCGGCATTCGCTTTGTATTGATCGTAGGAACGGGAAATTACCGATTATAAAAGCCGGCCGACAGAATTTTCGTCCAGACCGCTGAATTCGACCTAGTTATCTAGTTAGGGTTGAAAATCCTGCCACCGTCGGGACTCGAACCCTAGGACCTCCCAGAGAGAGACACTGCAGTGACATCAGTTGATGCCTGTAGCCACGTAAGGCGGCGGAGGCTTTACAGATTGACAGAATACTTAAGCTTTCATTTTGTACCTTTTTTCGTTCTCGATAATTTGTCATATTTACACTGAGTCGTAGTTATCTGTGTGCTTAAATGTATTCTTATATGCCAATTGATCGAAAGTATACCAGCCTGTGCAGTTTCCTACTCATATAATTTATTGCTATTTTGTGTTACGTTTATTTTGAGGGTCATATTTCATTTCTTCAAAAACTCATGAACATGACGTATTATTCACTAAACGAATATGTCGTTTTGAAAATGTAATATGTAGCCCTCCAATCTTGAAAATGTAAATATGTACCCTGTAAATATGTAGGATTCATAACCTCGCCCTCAAATCAGCAACTAGTATTTCGGAGAAATTCTTAAGCACATTGACAATCAATTAGTGTAGTTCGTCCTCTAAAAGAATTGTGCTCTGATACAATGGACAGGGACAGTTATCTGAACTACGTTTTTAGGGAAAGGAATATATATCTTATTTTTTATATGACTAAATTTTGCACGGTACAGGTGTAATATGACTTTTCAAAACATTATGGCAACTATTACACGAATGGATATTATAATAATTTTCAAAACATATTTTTTCCTACACTTTTCACATTTGTGATGAACGTATTTCTGTGTGTTCAATACAAACATTTGTTTCCCGATAGTTAACATATATATTTATATTCGTATCATAAAGGAAAACATATTTAAATGCAAATTTTATATGTTTGTTCTTATAGCAACAAACGTCACCTTTGTGAAGAGAGCAAAGTTGTTGGATTGCTAATTTTCCTTCATTGAAAAAAATCATTATGACTTTATTTCCGTTATCATTGGTCAACCAAACTACTATTCTTAAAATTGAATAGCAGAACTATCACAATTATATTTTATTACGATTTTTTTCGTTATCACTGTCTAACAGTGATCGTTAATTCACTCCTTTATCATTATAGGAGTTAATCCCAACTGTACTCACGAATTCGCCGCAACTCCATATAAATAAAGACGGAGGCATTGCACCAGGTCGCTTATTTCTCGTGGCCGTCTCCCGAACGGACGAACATGAAATTACGAAGCAAATAAATTGCGCCACATAACACAGGCATTATCGAGAATACGAGCGCGGAGGTGTACAGTTAATCCAATCCCCGGCTCACGCCGCCATCTGCAGGGGTGGGCAGCCGTGGTCCCGCCGCGGCGTCTCGCGAGGGATATGGAAACAAAAGCGCAGAGCAGCCACGGAGGCGAGAATTTTCTATAGCGCTATTTTGTAGCGTCGTGCCACGCTCAAACCGCCGGATGTTAAACAAAGGGCGGAGTGATGAATACACTGGGACTTTCCTGTGAGTAGCAGACCCAAGCAGCTTGGGGAGGATGGCAATGGGGCGGCGGATAGAGCCAAAGGGGGTGAAGGGTGCAGGATAGGTCAAGGATCAGGAAGGAATATTGTATTCAGTCTGTTGCCCCGTTTTGTTAGGGTACAGCTCGATATCCACCTTGTGTTGATTGGAGAAACCAAGGGAAAACTACCGACAAGAGAAGCCGCCGCTAGAATTCTCCTCCAGACAGCGACTGAATTCGACCTAGCTGACAAGCTAGTGTCGAAAGTCTTGCCATTGTCGGGACTCGAATCTAGGATCTCCCGATCAGAGGCACTGCAGTTACATCAGTTGAATCCCTGAACAACTTGCTGGTTTAAAGCATATGGATATAAGGAACGCGTCCCATTTCTCATCGATCCACTGTGATCAAGGATGTTACGATCGTGACGATGTGCAAGCAACGGGTCTAAAATTACTTTATTTGCGACAGATTATCACAGGATACAAAGTACGTTCTGATCCTGATTACTAAATATTTCTATTGGGTTCTCTGTTGTAAGTAGAAGAAGGGATTATCCTAATTTTCTACAATGAACGCACAACACCAGCTCTGTATGAAGTAATGCTCTGTACAGAGCCAAGGTGTTCGAAGTTACCAAAGTAATTTTTAGTTTAAAAGTATAATTTAGCCTCTAGGATAACTCAAGGGCTTCTAGTTTCTAGATTGCATTGGTATGACCCCGGATTCGCTTCCCGGTAAAGAATAAGAGTTGCAACTTTCTTTTAAAATCGTCCGAGTTTCTGTAGCTGTGTGACGAGGAAAAGCTCAAGCAGACAGAGTTTGTTCGTTACAATGAAGGGAATTCGTCATGTTCGCCACATGTCGCTCTTACCCGTCAAGCATGGGAATTTAACTACGCCCAGGCATGGGGGACACCGTTAGCTCGTCGGCCAAGTCGGACTATCGATCCCAAATGTCTAATACATACATACATACAACGATTTAGAAAAGTACGAATTGTTCGCAAGGTAACAACTGATACTGTATTATTTTCAATTTCCGTACACAATAATGGGCATTATTTTCTTTGCCCTGAAATCTCAGAGTGTACAAGTTCGTGCCTTGTCCAGGGCCCTCCCCGCAACCGAGGAATGGGGTCCTTCGGAGCTGCTTAGTTTGCCTAGTTTACATAGGCTCTTCGCTGCGTCCCAATTGCGCCGTTAGTCAAGAGCGTGTGTGTTTTCTTTGCCGGGGCAATAAATCACAGACGTGAACTTTTTGTAATTTATTGAGTATGTATTTGAAATATGCTCCAACACCTGAATACAATTTCAATAATTACAATAAACAATATTGACCCGTTGTGATCCTGGTCACCACCGCCACCCGCTGGCATCTCTCTCTTTTGTG